TATCTATGTAGAGATACTGCTTGCAAACCAATGATGATAAGATGATGTTAGGGGGTAGGACTAGATAAGTCTAACTTCTTCCTACTCCATTCAAGCATGTACTAGGTATAAGTAAATTGATAACGCATTTGTGGATATGTGTGAAATTATGTGTGTTGACATATTGACTGTCGTTACATGTTTGAAAGAATAAATCAAATCAAATCAAATCAAGTACGTTACTTTCCTAATGCACATTGCTTTTCTTACTTTCAGTCTTATCCAGTTCACTCGCTGCCTTACAGGAGAACAGTGTCCATACACAACGACAGCCGCTGCACCCGGGTCAAAGTCCAGCACACCTGGCCAGTAAAGCTGATTCTGATCCAAACATACAGGTTTTACCAAAAAAAAAAAAACAAACAAACCACACAGGCTTAAGAAACCACAGCTCTCAGACTGGAAGAAATATAGTCACAGAAATGTGAGAAAAATTTCAGAAAGGAACTGAGAATTTAACCAACGCACAACAAAGGAACCAGAAAAACACAACTGAACTAAGAATAAAACAGCAAACACAAGCAGAACTCACAGGTGTGCAGTGCGGACGGTGCTGCTCGTATAGGTGAGGTGCTGCTGGTGGAGGCATCAATCACACACTGCTGATGTGGGGGAAATGTGTGTGTGCGCGTTTTGAAACTCAGATAAAGTCTTCCTCTTTCGCCTACTCTCTCTCTGTTTCAGCTGACGTCGCCCTGCCTGTCTGCAGCTCTCAGCCTCACCCTGAAACGGTATGTCTCCTGAGGTGGCGTGTCGGTGCTGCAGCCGATCACACATATGAAAACATGAATAGCATTAAAAGGTCTCTACTTACCTGAGTGTGTGGTCTGGAGCCAGTGTAACAAAATGATGCCTCAGTGCAGGTGACAAACCACCTGCCCACCACTAACACTAGCGGGGATGAAAACGAAGGATGCACGCTACAACGCTAAGAAACAGTGAAGGTTTACATCTACAAGGTTTCAAAAATATTGCTCAGCTGGAGCAAATAAAACAGGTTGTGGATACAAATCTTTTTATTTTCTCCACAAAACTGTACAGACTTAAATATTGGTGACACGAAGGGTATAAATGCTGGGAAAGCCTAGAGTGGTGCATGATGGGAAGCTCAGGCCACCTCCTCCATGTAGTCAGCGCCGTGACTCTGGCTGAGCTGCGAGATGCTCAGATCCTGGGTGGACTCATCAAGCTGCAGACAGAACAGACGCCAAGTCAGCTTGACCTCGGGGTTAACAACACAAACCAGATCCTGGACACGTCCCCACCTTGTCGCTGTGGTCGGGCCCCTCGATGGAAACCTCCTCGATGTCCTCCCCGATGCTCAGCTCGCTCTTGGACAGATCTGAGCGGTGGCTGAAATCAGATGCTCTCAGTTAGTTTCTGTGATATCAACCTGTGGAGAGATCTGGAGCTGCAACAACAAAACTAGTGAGAGCTGAAACGTGTGTGTGGATTTGCTTCCACTGTTTATTCTGCTTTAACCAGTGCGACTCTGCTGACATGATGCGGCTGTGAAGCTGGTGTGACCGGACCACTAGACAGTCAGCACACAGCTGGCTATTCACAGTCTTACCTGTTGAAGTCGTCGTCATACTCGACATCGTCATCTGTGGGAACAAAGGTTCACATGTTTGTGGAACTTACTCAGTGCCCCTGTGTTTCCAGTGTAACCATTATACACAGTAACTGGCTGATTAATGTGTCAGTGGCAGCTCCGACTGCTCCTGTGAAGCTGCAGGCTGCTGCAGAAACACCCCAAAGTAAAATGTGCCTCCACAGGAGGAGAAATAACAAACACTGAGACCTGTTCCTATCTCTCTTTACAGCTACGTTACAGTGTTCACACAGGCTGGAACTTTTCATGCCAAACTGAGAGTGAAGTGGGACCATGAAGTGGGACCAGTGCGGCCAGTGTTGGGCAGCAGTGTTTTAACACACAGCTGCCACGTGACTCTGTTAATGTCACCAGGTGCTCTTTAAAACCTGGAGGCCATCTTTATCATGGGCGACAGAAGAACTGGAGATAAGAAACCTGTAAAACCTGCTGACAAAAAGCTTGGCGTGAGACTGTCCAACGTCAGCCACAGTGACTGTAACTGCAGAAATGCTGTTTGTGGTCTCTGTCCAGTGCGTGCTATCTGTGCACATCCCAGTAATGACAGAGAGACTGTGTGTGATGTTTGTGACAGTCTGAGTCCTACCTAAATGCAGGGACCCGGTTTTGTCGTTCAGGGCCTTCGAGTCTCTGAGTCCCTTCTCTCTGGAGTCTGAGGCACCTGCAAGAGGAACAGTCACAGTCTGACACTGTGCAGAAGACTTCCTGTTACAGAGCGGAGCTAGTCCGGCTCAGAAAAAACATTTTACGTTCCAGTTTTACATCAAATCGGCTGCAGGTGTGTAGCTCTGCAGTACACATCATGATCTCATCCCTACTGTCCAGAGGAACAGCCTGCTACATGGCACCAACTGCAGGATCTCTCCTGTAGCGCCACCCTCAGGACAAACATGTTGGCTTCCACTACTGTTCAGACCTGAACAACACAGAAATCCTACAGACAGCCCCAGATGTTTAGTTTCAGCCTGAACTACCAGGATTGCTGGCTGGACTCTTACCGTTCTTGCTGTGGCTCTGCTCTGATATGTTGCTTCCTCCTCCTCCTCCTCCTGGTCTCAGAGCCTCGGACAGGGACCCTACAGGACTCTCTCTGGTCTTGGACGCCTCCACGTTCCTGAGATACAAACAGTCAGCTGAGCACAGAGGGATGACATGGACACACACACACAGCTGAGGACTAAACAGGACGGATGGAGCGTGGCCCAGACAGAAGACGACCCCATGTGTCTCAGTAGTCCAAGCTGAAGACATGAACGCAGTGTGCACTGTAGTCTGTACAAGCTGGTTTCCACATGCAGCTCCTTCAGGCTCCTGTTACTAATCTTTCATTGTTTTGCACAGAATTCATGTAAAAACTAAATATATTTGTAAAAACCTTTGACATGAGCAGAGAGTTCCCTGCACATGACTTTCAAACCAGCACACGAGATGAGGTGTCTGATGTATTTGTTCACCAAAACAGACCTAGTATGTCCTCAATACATCAACATTTCCACTGAGTTTGGTGCATGTGAAGACAAGATGGTTTTATTTGAGCATGTGGCTCCAGGATGTGCTGTGACCCATCCTCA